GGCGTCCGTCGGAGGCGCGCCTCTTTTTTTTTTCTCTTCTCCCTCTGGCTGGCTGACTCCCTCCTCCCTGGGGTCGCGTCTGGACGCCCCTCGCTCTCTGCTGCAGCCTATACTGGTCTGTACGTCCACGGACGGCTCCTGTGTGGTGGGGCCACGGATGGTTCCTGTGTGGTGGGGTCACGGACGGTTCGTGTGGTGGGGTCACGGACGGCTCCTGTGTGGTGGGGCCACGGACGGCTCCTGTGTGGTGGGGCCACGGACGGGTCCTGTGTGGTGGGGCCACGGACGGCTCCTGTGTGGTGGGGCCACGGACGGGTCCTGTGTGGTGGGGCCACGGACGGCTCCTGTGTGGTGGGGCCACGGACGGCTCCTGTGTGGTGGGGCCACGGACGGCTCCTGTGTGGTGGGGTCACGGACGGCTCCTGTGTGGTGGGGTCACGGACGGCTCCTGTGTGGTGGGGCATGGACGGCTCCTGTGTGGTGGGTCACGGACGGCTCCTGTGTGGTGGGGTCACGGACGGCTCCTGTGTGGTGGGGTCACGGACGGCTCCTGTGTGGTGGGGTCACGGACGGCTCCTGTGTGGTGGGGCCACGGACGGCTCCTGTGTGGTGGGGCCACGGACGGCTCCTGTGTGGTGGGGCCACGGACGGCTCCTGTGTGGTGGGGCCACGGACGGCTCCTGTGTGGTGGGGCCACGGACGGCTCCTGTGTGGTGGGTCACGGACGGCCCCTGTGTGGTGGGCCACGGACGGGTCCTGTGTGGTGGGGCCACGGACGGGTCCTGTGTGGTGGGGCCACGGACGGGTCCTGTGTGGTGGGCCACGGACGGCTCCTGTGTGGTGGGGCCACGGACGGCTCCTGTGTGGTGGGGCCACGGACGGCTCCTGTGTGGTGGGGCCACGGACGGCTCCTGTGTGGTGGGGCCACGGACGGCTCCTGTGTGGTGGGGCCACGGACGGTTCCTGTGTGGTGGGCCACGGACGGCTCCTGTGTGGTGGGCCACGGACGGCTCCTGTGTGGTGGGTCACGGACGGCTCCTGTGTGGTGGGCCACGGACGGCTCCTGTGTGGTGGGCCACGGACGGTTCCTGTGTGGTGGGGTCACGGACGGTTCCTGTGTGGTGGGGCCACGGACGGCTCCTGTGTGGTGGGGTCACGGACGGTTCCTGTGTGGTGGAGCCACGGACGGTTCCTGTGTGGTGGAGCCACGGACGGCTCCTGTGTGGTGGGCCACGGACGGCTCCTGTGTGGTGGGGCCACGGACGGTTCCTGTGTGGTGGAGCCACGGACGGCTCCTGTGTGGTGGGCCACGGACGGCTCCTGTGTGGTGGGGCCACGGACGGCTCCTGTGTGGTGGGTCACGGACGGCTCCTGTGTGGTGGGCCACGGACGGCTCCTGTGTGGTGGGGCCACGGACGGCTCCTGTGTGGTGGGGCCACGGACGGCTCCTGTGTGGTGGGGTCACGGACGGTTCCTGTGTGGTGGGCCACGGACGGTTCCTGTGTGGTGGGGCCACGGACGGCTCCTGTGTGGTGGGGCCACGGACGGCTCCTGTGTGGTGGGCCACGGACGGCTCCTGTGTGGTGGGCCACGGACGACTCTCCTATATACCACAGCCGCTCTTCATATCTCTTGTCCGCCCGTCCTTACTTAGTATCCAGTCCACCTGAGCCTCCGCCCTATCACCCTCTCGCTTGTCCCTCACCCTTCAACCTATCTCCTATCCATTGCCCCCCCCCTTCGTCCGTTCCCTACCCACCTACTCCTTTCCACCCCGTCCCACACCCACATGTCAATGAAAGACTCACCACATCAAACAGAAGGAACGGCAAGAGAATACCCCTGTTAACAGTACCTATTACGGACATTTAACAGTATGGCGTTACGGACTGAAATATCATGGCTACTATTACGAGTATACTTGTAACTATACTAAGTAGACTAGGCCAGTTTACGTAGAGTACAAAACAAGGTACTCAAGTCAGACAAGTAAGTGCAGAAGTCATTCTTCCAATTAGCTACTGCACTCATATTTTTTTTTTTTTTTTTTTTTTTTTTTTGAGATATATACAAGAGTTATTACATTCTTGTACAGCCACTAGTACGCGTAGCGTTTCGGGCAAGTCCTTAATCCTATGGTCCCTGGAATACGATCCCCTGCCGCGAAGAATCGTTTTTTCATCCAAGTACACATTTTACTGTTGCGTTAAACAGAGGCTACAGTTAAGGAATTGCGCCCAGTAAATCCTCCCCGGCCAGGATACGAACCCATGACATAGCGCTCGCGGAACGCCAGGCGAGTGTCTTACCACTACACCACGGAGACTGCTTATACACATATACATGTGTGTATATAAGACATTGTGGATACAACCCGTTCTCGCACTTTCCTATAGTCAATATTGACTTATTAAATACGTGCATATGTGACATACTAATTGTAATTACGAAGCAACAAGATGCTTGTCTTAACATACTAAGAAGGTTAAGTAAGGTCGGTGTTTTCTATGAAGCTTTTCAAGGTAAACTAAAATATTCACAATAAATTAGCATGTCACATATGCACTTATTAAATAAGTCAATATTGACTGTAAGAAAGTGGGAGAATGGGTTGGTGGATAACGACACACACTTCCCATTGACAGAAAGGGGAACTAGAAGACACAGGTGAAACCTGGAAGAGTAAATGAGCCGAATGCATTGAAAAATGAAGTTGTGGAATCCACCTCCATCCACAACTTTAAGGCCAGATGCGACATATTTGAACGTCAGAGTGATTAAAGTTTAAGGCAAGAGATTCAACAACGCCAGAAGGCGGGGTTTAAGGAGCTAGACTTTACTTCCCGTACACACTGTTAGGTAAACACACACACCATGTGGACTAAAGAGCCAGAGCTCAACCCCCGCAAACACAACTAGGTCAGTACACACACACACACACACACACTTCAGGAACCTGTACACCTGTTGATTGACGATTGAGAGGCGGGACCAAAGAGCCAGAGCTCAACCCCTGCAAGCACAATTAGGTGAGCACACACACACACACACACGCACACACACACGCACACACACACGCACACACACACGCACACACACACGCGCACACACACGCACACACACACACACACACACACACACAGCAGCAGACGGGAATGATAGTCCACAGAATCCGGATTCGTTTCCCAGCCGAGGCAGAAACAAATAAGCAGTTTCTTTCACCTGATGCACCTTTTCACCTAGCAGTAAATAGGTACATGTGAGTTAGCCAGCTGCCACGGGCTGCATCATGGGGATGAGTTTGGGTGTTAGAAAGATATGAAGGACATATGATAAGAGAAAAAAATACAGGTCTGGAGTCAGTACATTAGACAACCGACAGTTAAAAGCCGGGGGCCAAGAGCTAACAACTCGATCCTGCAGCCACAAATGGTTTAAAAAGTACATATTTGCGTGTCTTAACCAACTTCTTGAGAAATGCCCGAAACGCTTTGCGTAATAGTGACTTTAGGCATTGTATGTACTAGCTCTATCTATTAATCCAACAAACTTTGTAAAATCTCTTTATGTATATACCTTACCTAAATAAACATTGATTTATTTATAAATACAAATGTCACTAGCGGCCCTCGTGGCTATACACAAACATCAACAATTACAATGAGATGTTTGATGCGAGTATCAACAATCAATCCACCAGGCGGAGGACTGCAGACTCCGCCTGGCAGAGAGGCTTTGTTTACCGCTGTTGGCTTTCACAGAGACCTTCACAAACCTCTCCATCTCCAAGAGCTTGCTGGAAAACCTGCCGACGTCCTGACAGTCTCTCGCAAGCCAACACACTCTTTATCATCTTGGGAAGCGATTTGGCAGTGTATAATATCACTGTCTCGGCTCTGAATAATTTGTCACTCTGCCAAACCGTCCAATCTCGAGTCTTCGTGGGTGGACGTTCGATCCCCGATGGTCGAAGAGGTTGGGCACCGTTCCTCCATCTCTACCTCGTACCCCAGGATCATGTCCTCACACTTAGTCATATTGGCTTAAATATGCAACATTCACCCCCCAGGGGAAACATGCAACATTCACCCCCGGGGGAAACATGCAACATTCACCCCCGGGTGAAACATGCAACATTCACCCCCGGGGGAAACATGCAACATTCACCCCCGGGGGAAACATGTAACATTCACCCCCGGGGGAAACATGCAACATTCACCCCCGGGGGAAACATGCAACATTCACCCCCGGGGGAAACATGCAACATTCACCCCCGGGGAAACATGTAACATTCACCCCCGGGGGAAACATGCAACATTCACCCCCGGGTGAAACATGTAACATTCACCCCCGGGGGAAACATGCAACATTCACCCCCGGGTGAAACATGTAACATTCACCCCCGGGGGAAACATGCAACATTCACCCCCGGGGGAAACATGCAACATTCACCCCCCGGGGGAAACATGCAACATTCACCCCCGGGGGAAACATGCAACATTCACCCCCGGGGGAAACATGCAACATTCACCCCCGGGGGAAACATGCAACATTCACCCCCGGGGGAAACATGCAACATTCACCCCCGGGGGGAAACATGCAACATTCACCCCCGGGGGAAACATGCAACATTCACCCCCGGGGGAAACATGCAACATTCACCCCCGGGGGAAAATGAGTAATATCACACACGCTTGTATCAAATCTTTCCCTTACTGTTCCTTAAAGTTTTTCTTGCGAATGAACTACAATATAATTTTAATTTCAGATTCGTGTTGTAATTCGCATCGTGTTAATCACTACAGTTAATAGTGAAGATATTTTGAATTTTGGAGCCTTGTAAACTCTTGAAACAACCGTAAGGTAATTATTTATCTTGTATTAATACTGTACTAAAGTTGAGGTAGAATTGTGACCTCTTGCTTTACTCTGACTTTGACCTTTGACCTTGATATGTCACCTTGATCTTTTAACTTTATTCTGCCCAGTTCACAAAGCTGTCAAGTAGAACACACTACACAACAGAAGACTTGAGGAAAGAAGAACAGCAAGAGGTGCAGCAATAGTCGAAGCTGCAGGCTTGCAGCTTCAGGTGTGTATAGGCCTGCAGCTTCAGGTGTGTAGAGGCTTGCAGCATCACAGGTGTAGAGGCTTGCAGCATCGCAGGTGTAGAGGCTTGCAGCATCGCAGGTGTAGAGGCTTGCAGCATCGCAGGTGTAGAGGCTTGCAGCATCGCAGGTGTAGAGGCTTGCAGCTTCAGGTGTGTAGAGGCTTGCAGCATCGCAGGTGTAGAGGCTTGCAGCATCGCAGGTGTAGAGGCTTGCAGCATCGCAGGTGTAGAGGCTTGCAGCATCGCAGGTGTAGAGGCTTGCAGCATCGCAGGTGTAGAGGCTTGCAGCATCGCAGGTGTAGAGGCTTGCAGCATCGCAGGTGTAGAGGCTTGCAGCATCGCAGGTGTAGAGGCTTGCAGCATCGCAGGTGTAGAGGCTTGCAGCATCACAGGTGTAGAGGCTTGCAGCATCACAGGCTACACAAGAAGTTGAAGCAACAGCACACGCAGCAACAAGATGCATCAGCAGATGCAGACACAGCCAACGCAGAAAACGCTCCTTCAGCAGATGTAACAGCAGAAAACGCAATATGTCACAATATCCACTGTATGAGGACCAGTAACAGGAGATTGACCTAAAAGACACACCAGAAGCAGGAGAGGCAGCAGGAGAGGCAGCAGGAGACGCAGCAGCAGCAGGAGGATGTTGTCGTGTCGGGGAAGGCACGAGTAAAGCTGATTATCATCTCCAATGCAAATTAGATTCCCTGGGAAGCGTCCTAAGTGCTGAAGACGGCGGAGCTCCGTCAAGCCTGACAAGTGACATTATGTTCCCTCTTCCTGCGTCTGGTCTGTGTCTTCCTCTCTTCCACTCTCCCTCCCTCTCCCTCTCTCTCCCTCTCTCTCCCTCTCTCCCTCTCTCCCCTCTCTCTCTCTCTCTCTCTCTCTCTCTCTCTCTCTCTCCCTCTCTCCCCCTCTCTCGCCCTCTCTCGCCCTCTCTCTCTCCCCCTCTCTCGCCCTCTCTCTCTCCCTCTCTCTCTCTCTCCCTCCCTCTCTCTCTCTCTCTCTCTCTCTCTCTCTGACACTAAAGTCTCTTGTCATCTGCTTCACTCGCTCGCTGTCTCTATCCACCATACCTCCTCAAACTCAACCCCTGCCCATTCAATCATCCCTCTACCCATCTATCCGTTTATTCCATCCATCAAACCGTCCATGCACGCACAAACAACAAAAAGGCACTTAAATGTCAACTGATAAGACTGAGCGGTTGTATATGTGGATGATACATGATAACAAGACGAACGCGGTTCAGTCTTACCTGAAGAGATAAATCTACCTTCCACTGACACAAGAAATATCTATACTCCAGCCGAAATCATCTCAAGATAACCTCAAGATAACCAGCCACTACCCTTAAAGCCGGCGAGGACGCCACGCCACTTGCCAAATAAAGTTTTAATACATATGTGAAGATGTTAGTAAACAAAAGTGCTTGAATTCACAGGACACTTAATCTTTCATATGCATAACGATTATGTATGGAGAAAACGTGGTTCAATTATGTATCCACTCGGGGAAAATGAAATAAAAAAATAATCTAAGCGCTTTCAGTTTTTCACGCCACATTTTCAGTAAATATATTCCTGCAAAAATGTGTTGAATCACGAAAGCGCATGGATAATTTTCGGTTCACTTTCCCTATGTGGATACTTACGCATATATATATATATATATATATATATATATATATATATATATATATATATATATATATATATATATATATATATATATATATGTCGTACCTAGTAGCCAGAACGCACTTCTCAACCTACTATGAAAGGCCCGATTTGCCTAATAAGCCAAGTTTTCATGAAATAATTGTTTTTCGACTACCTAACCTAACCTAACTTTTTCGGCTACCTAACCTAACCTAACCTATAGAGATAGGTTAGGTTAGGTTAGGTAGGGTTGGTTAGGTTCGGTCATATATCTACGTTAATTTTAACTCCAATAAAAAAAATTGACCTTATACATAATGAAATGGGTAGCTTTATCATTTCATAAGAAAAAAAATAGAGAAAATATATTAATTCAGGAAAACTTGGCTTATTAGGCAAATCGGGCCTTGCATAGTAGGCTGAGAAGTGAGATCTGGCTACTAGGTACGACATACATATATAATATATATATATATATATATATATATATATATATATATATATATATATATATATATATATATATATATATATATGTCAACTCTTCCAGGGTTCACCTGGAAGAGTTGTTTACCAAAAGTCATGGTCGTTTTTTCAAGGTGAAGAAAAAGAAGTGAATAACTGAATAATTCATTGCACTTATTGTAATATCGAACGACGTTTCGAAACTATGTGGTTCATTCTCAAGTGATAAGAAATTACGTTGTTGTTGTTAAAGATTTAGCTACTCAGGACGAAGTGTCCATGTAGCACGGGCTATGGTGAGCCCGTAATTGAGTTTGGTTATACATGACAACCTTTCTCCTGTGAATCTAAGAAATTACAAAACTCGGTAGATTTATACCAGTACGGGGTCAGGTGAAAACGTAAGTGGAAAACGGGGGTAAATAGGGGAATATACAATGATTATTCAAATGTAATAGGCCTATTATGTTGAGCAGTGTCTTGTGTACAAATCCACAAGGGCCGTGACGAGGATTCGAACCTGCGTCCGGGAGCAGTGTCTGGGATGCTCCCGGACGCAGGTTCGAATCCTCGTCACGGCCCTTGTGGATTTGTTCATTTGATGCATCACATTAGTGTGATCTGTGTGTGTAGTGTCTTGTGTGTTGGCATCGTTATGTTCCGGTCTTGTTCTTACTCTCATAGTGGGAAGAGTAAATAGTTTCGAAATTTGGGTATTCATGGCAGGTTGTTCTATTTTTTAATGGATTGCTTCAAGAGATTCACTACAAACGACGTGCGCGAGGAACTCGATAAAAAATTCCAGGAAGTTTTCACATTAGAGCAAGGAGAAGTTCCAGAGATAAGAGAAGGAATAGTTAACCAGGCACCACTAGAGGAATTTGAGATTACCAGTGGAGATGTAAGGAAGCTTTTGATAGAATTGGATGTGACAAAGGCTATAGGCCCGGATGGAATATCGCCATGGATACTAAAGGAAGGAGCAGAAGCACTGTGCCTGCCACTCTCCATGGTGTATAACAATCATTGGTAACAGGTGAACTGCCAAAAATTTGGAAGACGGCAAACGTAGTTCCGATATACAAGAAGGGGGATAGGCAGAAGGCACTGAACTACAGGCCAGTGTCACTGACTTACATTCCATGCAAGCTATTGGAGAAAATTGTGCGAAAAAAGCTAGTGGAACATCTTTAGCAAAGGAACTTTGTCACAACACCAACATGGTTTCAGGGATGGCAAGTCAAGCCTCAGAGGATTAATTGAATTCTACGACCAAGCAACAAGAATCAGGCAAGAGAGGGGTGGGCAGACTGCATATTTTTAGATTGCCAGAAAGCCTTTGACACAGTACCACACCAGAGATTGGTGCGAAAGCTGGAGATGCTTGCAAGAAGGGAAGGGAACTATCAGTGGGGAAGCACCAAGTCATTACGACTATATAGCATTGGAAGGGGTAAGGATAAGGATTAAGGGATGGGGAGGGGATAATGGTGCCCAACCACTTGGACGGTCGGGGATTGAACGCCGACCTGCATGAAGAGAAACCGTCGCTCTACCATCCAGCAAAATAAATCTTCTGTTACTTAGGTTCTCCACTGGATAAGGGAGTAACTATGTAACAGAAGACAGCGAGTCACTGTGAGGGGTGAGGTCTCAAACTGGCAAGACGTCACCAGTGGAGTCCCACAGGGGTCAGTCCTTGGACCCATACTCTTTCTGATATATGTAAATGATCTACTAGAGGGTATAGAATCGTTCCTCTCATTGTTTGCTGATGCAAAAATTATGAGGAGGATTAAGTCGGAGGAAGGAGGCTACAAGATGACCTAGACAGACTGAATGAATGGTCCAACAAATGGCTACTAAAGTTCAACCCGAATAAATGTAAGGTAATGAAACTAGGTAGTGGAAACAGGCGGCCAGACACAGGAAACACAATGAGAGATGAAGTCCTTCATGAAACGGACAGAGCGAGAGATCTAGGAGTTGATCACACCAAACCCGTCTCCTGAAGCTCACATCAAGAGAATAACATCTGCGGTGTATGCGAGGCTGGCTAACATCAGAACGGCCTTCAGGAACCTGTGCAAGGAATCATTCAGAACCTTGTATACCATATATGTAAGACCAATCCTGGAGTATGCGGCCCTAGCATGGAGCACGTACCTTATTAAGCACAAGGCGAAGCTTGAAAAAGTTCACAGGTATGCCACTAAGGTAGTCTCAGAACTAAGAGGCATGAGTTACGAGGGTAGGCTGCGTGAAATGCACCTCACGACACTGGAAGACAGCAAAGGGGAGACATGATCGCTACCTACAAAATTCTCAGAGGACTTGACAGGGTAGATAAGGATAAACTGTTTAACACAGGTGGTACGCAAACAAGGGAACACAGGCGGAAACTGAGTACCCAAATGAGCCACAGAGACGTTAGAAAGAACTTTTTCAGTGTCAGAGTAGTTAACAGATGAAATGCATTAGGCAGTGATGTGGTGGAGGCACACGCCATACGGTTTCAAGTGTAGATATGATAGAGCCCAGTAGGCTCAGGAACCTGTACACCAGTTGATTGATAGATGAGAGGCGGGACCAAAGAGCCAGAGCTCAAGCATTGTACATTTGTAAGCACAACTAGGTGAATACACACACACACTATGTAAATAGTGTGTGATATATATATTATATATATATATATATATATATATATATATATATATATATATATATATATATGTCGTACCTAGTAGCCAGAACGCACTTCTCAGCCTACTATGCAAGGCCCGATTTGCCTAATAAGCCAAGTTTTCATGAATTAATATATTTTCTCAATTTTTTTCTTATGAAATGATAAAGCTACCCATTTCGTTATGTATGACGTCAATTTTTTTTTATTGCAGTTAAAATTAACGTAGATATATGACCGAACCTAACCAACCCTACCTAACCTAACCTATCTTTATAGGTTAGGTTAGGTTAGGTAGCCGAAAAAGTTAGGTTAGGTAGTCGAAAAACAATTAATTCATGAAAACTTGGCTTATTAGGCAAATCGAGCCTTGCATTGTAGGCTGAGAAGTGAGTTCTGGCTACTAGGTACGACATATATATATATATATATATATATATATATATATATATATATATATATATATATATATATATATATATATATATATATATAGTGTGTGTGCTCACCTAGTTGTGTTTGCGGTGGTTGAGCTTCGGCTCTTTGGTCCCGCCTCTCAACCGGCAATCAACTGGTGTACAGATTCCTGAGTCTATTGGGCTCTATCATATCTACATTTGAAACTGTGTATGGAGTCAGCCTCCACCACATCAC